ATCCACCCCTCTTAAAGTTGCTGAGGTTGAGGAACCCTGACTTAGCATCCTGGGTGAAAACAAACAGGTTAGGTTTTAATTTATCATGCACCCTCAGAACATGGGTTAATTCAGTAACCAGGTGAATTCAGCTCCACAGGTATGAAAAAGGGAAAAACTGTGAAGTCAGAGGACAATAAAATGCCCGAAGTGCAGCCATGACAATTAATTAAATGCTTAAATATAATTAAGATGTTTACAGTACCCATTGCCAAAAAAATGCCGATTATAACACCGACATTTCTGCACTGATCAGCTAATTAAATCTTTTAGTGAGATTTTTTAAAATATCTAAATTACAACCAAAGGTTAAGAGAATTCAGCGGCATGATGAGTTACCATGCAGAAGTTTCATCGTAGAGTCTTTCTTTAATGTTTCTTTGTTCAAAAAGGACTCATTTTAAGATCACCAAAAATAGAGCCCCATAAATTGAAACGTTTGGTAGTAGGTGCCCAAATATGACCCTCTTTGATTTCAGGTATCTATTCTTTTATTCTCTGAAGAGAGACTGCTGGCTTGTCTGCTTGTAGGCTGCAGAAGGTTATTGCTGATAGAAGACAGTATAGATCATGTTGCAAGATGGGCAATTGAATGAACCTGTGAGATTAGTCCAACTTTTTCTTAGAACCCATAGTTGTGTGGCCTGAGGCAATTTTATGTATTTCAATCTCAGTTTCAGGCTTTACATTCTGATTTCCTGCTAAGGAATGATGCTTATGGGGGCTCACAAACAAAATAAGCATCATTCAAACACAAGTTGTTTTTTTTTAAAGCCAACATATGAAAAATGGATCCTGCAAAAAATGCCATTTGATCCTAGCCTCTCCAGTTTATGTTGCTGTTGTTATCATTATATTTTCCTGTGCCCTGGAAACTTAGTAAGAAAAATGTTAGGGACAAGGTTTGTAGTTGCTAAATATCCCCCCCCCTTTTTTTTCTGTATTACTTTTTCAGCTCTTGGCTACTACAATAAAAAAAGACAAAGATACACACCTTTCCAAAGCCCAAGTCACGTCAAGGAATCCATTTAAGGTTGTGCTGTTTCTATCCCACATTAGAGTCCTATGAACAGATGAGCTTCAAATAAAAATATATCCTTGGTACAGACATCAAGCAATTGTGCACATCATCTAAGTTGTCCTTCATTATAAATATTTGTTCCGCCTCCCCTGAAAATACTTCACCACTGTTTCTTCTAAGATGTTTTTTCAGCATTCTGATCTAGGTTATAGTTGTCAGCCTTTCGAGGTTGTCCAGACCGGGAAACCGACTCCACAAGCAGATTAGAACTAAGTTTTATTGAGATAGGCCATAGCAGTGTTTCTCAACCTTGGCAACTTTAAGCTGTGTGGACTTCAACTCCCAGGTTTTCTGCTGGTGTCCCACCCAAGTACTAAGTCCAACCCTATTCAGCTTTCTGAACTCAGCCAGTTCAGTCAGGTGGTGCCACCTTTTGGGGACATAGACCAAAGACTTGCTCCTTGATCCTTCTGGCTTGAGATGTCTTTATTTATTTATTTATTTATATTTATTTATTTATTTAATTGAACTGGTATGCCACCCATCTCCCCCAACAGGTGATTCTGGGCGGCTGACAATAACGAAAAAGAACACACCAATCCCTCCAACAGTGACTAAAATCCATAAATAATTAAAATACAAACATACATTAAAAATGCCCCCCCCCCCCCCCGTATATTTTAGCACTAAAACCTTCAAGATGCCAGGGGGGGAGCCAAAACCCATCACCCCACCAGTCATCTCCACAGGTGCGAGCCTCCATCCAGCCCCCAGGCCTTCTGGCAGAGCCAGGATTTAACCCCCTTTGCTGAAGGCGAGGAGGGGGGGGGGCACACCAGCCCTCGGGAGGCAAGATTTTCCATAGGGCGGGAGCCATAGCAGAAAAGGCCCTCTGCCTAAACCCCACCAATCGGAATTCCTTGACCGGTGGGGTCTGCAACCTGCCCCTTCTGCTGGGCCAAGTGGGGGGGGCGGGGAC